GCCTGGGCTCTCGTAGTCTCACTGTGGATGCCGTGACCACTGGTCTCCTCGAGAGCCGTCTTTTACCCTCGTATCCCTGGTGCCCTGCCCAGAAAAGGAACTTCGTAGAAGTTTGTCAAATGAATAAAAGTTTGAGTCAAGGGGAGGCATGATGGGGTGCTGGGCCCTCTGGGAGAGGCAGCCTGTAAGGAAGGCATAGTGCCGAGTGTTGTCGGGTGGTTAAGATGGAATCACCCAGGCTTAATGGGGGGAGGGGGGGGTCTGTCACATGCAAGCGAGTTTTTTTTCAAATCCAGTTGTTCGGGAAAATCATGTTCCCCACTAAAAAGGTGAGAAAGGCAGAGGTCTTGTGACTGTCAGACCATGGGTAGTGCTTTGGGATAGCAGTGTGGCATTAAGAAGCCAGCCCTTAATTGGCTGAGGAGGGAGTGCAGTGGGGCTGGCCCTCCTGGGTGACCTGCGCTCCTGAGATGGGAGAGGGGTCGAAGACACTTGTGGGGTCACTCTGGAGGCAGAAGTGGCGGGTATGGGGTTGGGGGGCTTCTCCCACCCCACTGGCCGCCTCCCTCTTCCTGTGGGCACACTTTGGGGGTTCACCAAGGAGAGCAGAGTTCGGGTTTATTTGGCCTCCCATGGGGTGTTCCCAGCCAAAGCGTCATGTCACAGGAACTCCCCTCCTCAGAAAAGCTTCCTGGCCCAGGGTCCATGGGACTGCAGTCCTAGAGCTGCTGAAGGGGCCCCCTAACACACTTAAATAGAGGTCACTTAGTTCCACTTAACGTTTTTATTTTTTCTTTTTAAGGAATACTTGCTTTCCATTAGGTAGCCTGAACTCTCAAAACAGTTATAGTATTTGTGAGTAAAGGGACATGACGGTGACTGGAAGGGGCTTCCGGGTGGGGAAGCAGTAGCACAGGCAGGGAAGAGGAAGAAGGGCCCTCAAAGAGGCCATTCGGAGGGACCATCCAAAGAGAGCAGGGGCCTTCTCGGCCCGTGGGAGAACCTTGGCAGCAGCCTCCTGTGGCTGCACTGCCCCCTTAAGGAGGGGCACGGTTTGGCTTCACCACAGGACTGATTGGGCATTAGCATTGACCTGCCTGACCCCATCACTCCCCAGACGTCCCTGAGCCAGTGCCAGGCCAGCAGAGCCCAAGGAGCAGTAACAACGAGAGGCCCTCGGGACTTCTGAGCTGCCCTGGTGAGCCAGGCTGGGCTGAGTGCCTTCTATAAACAGGCTCAGTTAATTCTCACAGCAGTCAGCTTTTAAACCCGTCTGTTGGATCACATACCTTCCCTGCTTCCCACTGCACTTAAAGTCCAGGCTCCTCCCGCGCACGATCCAACCCATGGATGTCTCCGCTCTTCTTTCTCACTGTGCCCTGGCTGTACTAGATGCTTTTCCCTTTCTGGAGCAGGCCTCTTCCTGCCTCGGGGCCTTTGCACGTGCTCTTCTCATGGTCCAGAGTGACCTCTCCTCAGCTCTTCTGGCAGCTTTCCTCTTATCACTTCAGCTCGGGAGGGAAGTGGTCCTCCTGGCAACCCTAGCTGAAGTAGCTGCCACCCTCCAGACACACGGCGTGGTGTCCCAACTATCTGAAATGGTCACTGTGTGCAGTTCTTGTGAGTCTAACAGGATGCTGAGCAGAATTTTTCCTGTTTTCCCAGAATTGCAGGTTAGGCCCAAAGCTAAGGACAGAAAACACAAAGTTCCTTCCTACATTCTAAATTCAGGGAGCTGTGGGCAGCTGGGGCCAGCCTCCTCCCACAGGGCTGTTGGAGAGGTGCCACCCGGGAGCCAGCCCTGCCCCCACCCTCTTCTTCTGCAGTGAACTTGAGACTGGGGGGGGCGGTGCTTAAGGTGAGTGCAGTGTTTGTGATTAGAATTCACTCCCTCCCTCCCCTTCCTGAGGCTGAGGGAAAGTGGTTTCCTAGTGCACCTGCCGCCAGGGCCCCGCTGGCAGAGAAGAGTGGCTGTTTGCCCTGGGCTGCCACAGGGCAAGGGGGAGTGGAAGAGAGTGAAATGTGCCTGTGTGCGGGGTGTCACCCACACCCCAACCAGTGAGCCCAGAGTAAGAGCTTAACCCACAGGTGCTGTGTGGGGATTAATGTCTGTCCAGTGGCTCATTCATCGGCTCCATTTTAGAGACGGGCACCAGCTGTTCGGGGAGGAGGCACGGCTTATCTGAGGTTCAGCCCAACAAGCGGCAGAACTGGACTCTGAGCCAGGCCTGTCTGACTTTAAACTGGCTCGCTTCCCGAGTAAACTCCTGCTTCCCTTCTCTACCACTGGCCGCCAGGTGTGGACCGGGGAGCACAGCCTCCTTCCCGGGCCTGGCGCCTCAGTCAGGAGCTGGGGGACTGTGGGGAGCCGGTGAGGCCTTGTGTTCTGAGTGGGAGCTGGAGGTGTGGACAGTGTTGCAGGATGGCTGCAAGCTGCAGGTGGGACAGCTCGGGGAGGGTGTACCTTCACCTCCACACGGTGAGTGAGGGTCCAGCCCAGCGACTTTGTGTTTTTGATCTGTTTCCCATCTCCTGACTTCCCCTTCCCAATAGCCAGCTTAAACTATCTAACTGGGTTGTGGATGTGTGTGCACGTAAATGAAAGAAAAAGGTTTTGAAGGACAGGCGCTTAGAGGTGAACAGTGATTACCTTAGGTAGAAGAGGGAGTAGGATTGAGGGGGTAACTTAAACAGGACTTTACATTTTTACTGTATAATTTTGTATTACTGGATGTTTTCATGATTATGTGTTTATGTAAAAAACAAACCAAACAAAAACCTGCCCTGAGACCTGGCTTTATAGATGCCTAAGGAGGTCATCATAAGCCTTGTTTGCCCTGCTCCACAAACACCATGCTGTCTTTTCAGGTGGGAGGAGGCCTGCAGGGATCCAGGACCTCCTTCAGGGTCTTCTGCACCTGTCTTTGCCTCGGAGTCCCCAGGCTGCAACAACTTGCTACAACAAATAAAACGGTGGGGGACTTCCCTGGTGGTCCAGTGGTTAGGACTCTGTGCTTCCACTGCAGGGGGCGTGGGTTTGATCCCTGATCGGGGAACTAAGATCCCACGTGCCCTGCGGCACAGCCAAAAAAGAACAAACAAAAAGTGGGTCTTGGGCTTCCCTGGTGGCGCAGTGGTTGAGAGTCCGCCTGCTGATGCAGGGGACGCGGG